CACGTATATTTTCTTTAAAAAGTAAATATTTCAAATATTTCAGCCTTACATCTATTCTTTCTACTAAGCTAATGTTATCATCCGTATGTTCATATAATACTTATACTATTATATACTATATATCCACAAAATCTGATTAATACTATATTATATTAAAAATATAATTTAAATGAAAAGGTGACAATTTTTGTAGGTGCTCAATTAATAGGGGTTATTTTCGGATTATTATTATTATAAATGGTTTAAATTTGTTAACAATAATTCATTACAATTATTATATAGATGGAGGTGCTCATGATTGTTATAACATTTCATCAGAAAGAATGTGTCGAACGATATCTACGGATCTCTATTCATATAAAAGGAACTCGTGCTGTTTAATTAGACAATTGAATTGATATTTATTATGTAAGAAATGTAAGTTAAAAAATGTAATAGTTGGTATTTACTAGCTAATTAATTTATCTTATAAAAATAAATAAATTAAATAATGATAATGATGCTTCATCAGAGACCAGTTAAAATGATCTTTTTCTTAAATCCTCTCTTTTATTATTATTATAGACACTATTGTTATTATTATCTTTATTACCATTACCATTACTGCCATCATTGATAATCAATTTACTTGAATCAAAACTACTACTGCCGTAACCACTATCATTATTACTAATGCAACTTTCAGACCATTTCTTAAAAATTTGTTCCAACATTTTCAGACTAACCGGTTTAGTCAGAAATCCATCTACACCACTCTCATACACCAGCTCTTTATCTTCTTCGCTTGCTAGACCTGTTAATGCGAATATTAATGCCTATTATTATTACTACTTTTATTAAATCTTCTTGTTATAGTTTTTATAAATAAGCAAACAAACAGACAAAGTATTTCCACTTGCTTGATCCAAAAAAGAACACCCATTAAACAAGTCAGACTTTACTTCAACACATGCTGTATATGTTTCTCAAGTTTTTTAGTTGAAATAACAATATTAGAATTGGTCTCGCTTTATCTTCATTTTCTTTTGATGATTTTCTAAACATGCTTTTGCAGCTAACCTACATCAAGCGATGTTATTGTCATACGTTTAACGTGCCCCGTATAGGTAGCAACGTTTCTGATTGCGCCTTTGAGGAATGCTTTTAAGGCTAAAGATGGGAGTAATAGTTAGCTGCAACTAGTCGCAATTAATTGAAGAGCCATATTTATTAAGATTCCCTTTGTTCATTCGTAAATAAGGCTGAAAATTTGTTTGACCCCACCACATCATGCTAGTAGTATTCAGATGGCTGGATTCGTAATCCCTTTAATATTGTTTTTTATGTCGTTTTATTCCTCCTCTACCAATACCTTTTCCTGAAGACTTTTGTATTATTTAATCGTTTAAAATTAAAAAGGATGTATATTAATAATATAGAGGGTGGAGCAATGTCAATATAACAAGCCTTAGCACTTCTGTACCTTCCTAAAATACATAAACTATACAATTATTAGTGATCTAATGCACACACCACTGGTCCTACATCAGTAGTTGTTTGATCATTGAGATTTTAAAACAATTAATTGAAGTTTGTTAAAAGTTATAAGTTCAGGTCCAAGTGAGGAATAAAATGGACTTGATATTTCAAATATTTTTATGGTTTTGGTGCGGATTGGGCATAATAAATCTGATGTTCTCAAACCCAAAGCCATTTTTTTTCCTTATTAACTCATTCCACTTTTATTGTTTTTTCGTTGGTAGAGGGTTTTTTATGGTGGTGCAGCAATTCCTTTTCCTTCTCCAGATAACTCGAGATTTCTTATCAAAATAACGTTTAAAATCTTTCCACGGCCTATCAACATCCTCCAAGTACTTTTGTCCACCAATTGATTTATGTTTTGATTTCAGGTTTTCCAGACTTTATTGCATCATCAAATATTTCATCGATTTTTTTGGTTTATATTATAGATAAGTGGCGATTCTTGCAAATGTTATCATAACAAAGTAAAAAGCCAAGGAAAAATCCAATTAATAGATAATCCACAAAAGAACTTACTAGTAAATAGTGAGCATTTTAGTTGAGGATTATTAAGGATGAAAGATTTATTTTCTCAAGTATAATCGATTTTCCTGTATAGATGTTTATTTAAATCAACCGGTATATAGTGGTAGCAGAATTTTATATTACATTTGCCATTTTTAAATAATAAAATAGAGGTCAATTGATGTCATTTGCCATACTCCACCATAGAGTGAATTATATAATAAATAATGACGTGTGTTTTTTGTGGAAGAATAAATGTCACAGAATGATATTTATAGAAGTATTGAAGAATATGCGTTCACTGAAAAAAAATAAAAGATTTTTAGAAAGTGCCCCCAAACGATTCAAAGATTATATTGATGTTTGACCCGTCTTATAACATTAATCAGTCAATAATTATTATTCTTGCAGCTACCTTGAAATATTTTATTTATCTATCTGACTTTTGGGGAGGGAGTCCCCGCAATTGATACATCAAGGTGATATCGATTACTGAATGTTTTTATTATCGAAAGTCCAGAACTAAATATAATATGGTTTAATCCTAACCATTATTGTATGCTTATTATCTTTTTAATTTTTTTATTGATTGTGCAGAAGTTACATAAAAGAAACATTTGTTTTTATAGGGGTAAGGAAAAATACATATTACCATTGAGCCCCTAAATATTTTATAGTAAAAAACGCTTCTTTTTAAGATTCGTGGATTAAATTCCTGTCATCACGAGTAAAATTTGGTCCTTCTTTAGCCATTGCTTACGGCTTTTGAAATAGATCCAGGGTGACAAGAATAAAAGTTTTACCTATTTTGAATTTTATTATGGAATCAACTATGCTGCCATATTCCTATCCCATTTCTAGCGGCTACTAAATCCGAGTTTCCGAAGCTAAAGAAGAAGAAAAAAAAAATGATTTGGACGAAGTTACCGGAGAAAAAGTAAATTTTCCTAATGCTAAAAAAATCTTTCAGATATTATTATTATTATTGCAATGAGTCAACAATTTTTTAAATTACCTTCTAGTGAAATCGGCAGTAATCATGAGGGTTTTTTGACATCGGCTCCAGTCAAAGCCCACGGTTTTTAGGAATTTTTATTTTTTTCAAAGTAATAATAATAATGAAATTTTAATCAACTAAAATTATTTTTAATTTAATAAATAAAAAAGCACGTCGTTAGCTATTGCAGGCGAAGACTATTGTATATTAGCTTCTGATACTCGTCAAAGTAGAGGATACTTGATTAATTCAAGATATTCTCCTAAAGCTTTTAAATTGCGAGTAGATCTGCTTGCTTTATTGATGCATTAATTCCTTGTTTATTTTTCTGGTTGTTTGATTTATTAGATCAGATAAAGCAGCAATTTCTTTGAATGGATATGCAGCAGATGGCATTGCAATGGTTAAGAAACTTAAACAAAAGATGGAGGTTTGTCCAATTCAATTAATTTTACATTCAAATTTAAATTCAAGTAGATCATTATTAGTAAGAATGTTTACACAATTATAAATTTCGCATATTTTACATTTCAGTGGTATGAACACGCACACGATAAAGAGATGTCAACACCAGCTTTGGCTCAAATGATTGCAATCACATTATATGTGAAACGTTTCTTTCCATATTATATTTCCAATACATTGGCTGGACTTGATGAGAATGGTATTGAATGCTATTTTTATTTATTGCATATATAACTTTTTATTGTATGATATCAATAAACCAATGTTAATTGATAAATAGGAAAAGGAGTTATTTATCGTTTTGATCCAGTTGGTTCATTTGAGCCAGTGCCTTGTAATGCTAGGGATCAGGTGAAACTTTGATTCAACCTTTTCTAGACAATCAAGTAAGAAAATTTCATGCTAATGATACATTGTTGTTGTTGTTGTTGTTGTTGTTGCTGTTGTTATGCTAGCATATGTTATTAAAAGTTTTTATATAATTATTAATCATATTTACATATTTATATGTTTAATTCAGGTTGAATTTTTAAAAACCAACGAAATATTGATAAAGTACCATTACCACTTGATAAAGCAATTACTATCGCAAAAGATGCGTTTACATCAGCTGTAGAAAGATATATATACACTGGCGACTATTTAGAAATATTTGTTATTACAAAAGATGGAGTTGAAATTCAATCATATGATTTGAAGAAAGATTAAAAGCAAACAAACCAGTAGGCAGGAAAAATTAAATTTATATATATATAAACTTAAAAATTAACAATTTAATATATAATTATGACATTCACAATTTCAACTTTTTCACTTGTTGTATCTTACATCTCATCCTCCCACTTGTAATAATTTGAATAGCCATCATCTGCGCCAAGTTTAAGCTCCTCAACAAATAATTTATCATTAATCAATATATTAATATTAATAGTGACGATAATGATAATGTTGACAGCAATAATAATAATAATGACGATGATGTTAATGGAAATGATGAAGATAGCATTAATATTAATGGCAATAACGATGAGAATGGTAATGTTATTAATAATGCTGATAGCAATGATGATAATGTTGATAGCGATGAAGATGAGAACGGTAATGGTAATGGTAATGATGATGATGATGATAATAATAGTGAATTGGAAAGCCTTGACGAAAGGAGGTTTGTGACTGCTTGGAATACCAAATGGTCAATAGAAGAATCGATCATTCTCCTAAATCATGTATTTCGAAAGAAGATAAATTGTAATGAACTACAAATGAATGGAATATCAAGAAAAAACAATGCTATTTCATTAAAATGGAGGTCAATGAAACGACAAGTAAAGAAACTGTTTGGGGTAGATTTTTAAAAATTGATGGTATAAAAAAATAACTTGTTAATAATTTAATCATTTATTTGAGCAAACAATTT